AGAAGCCGTTAGGATTTTCGCCAGTGAACGCACCACCCGGCTCTGTTTTGCATCCATCAGTGATGAAACCGACTGCAAGCGAGGAGCAAGTGTGAATGACACCAGTCCACTGACACAATCACAGGCATAATTCCATCTTAACTGTGTCCATTACTGGCTTTCCGGTCGTTTGTGGCTGCGTTTGGAAATCTGGAAAAACATGAAAGGAGAACCGGTCTAATTCTCCTTCTGCATTTCTGTGGATGAGCTGATGTGAGCGAGTAAGAAAAAGAGAGAGAGAGAGAGAGAGAGAGAGTCATGAGCCAGATCCCTCTGTATTCTTTTTTTTTTCTCCTATGTACCATCTTCCCACGCGCCGCTTTCCACCCACAATATCGCAACGCTGATGGAACTTTTCTGCCTCCCCCCCTTTTGCTCGTTTTTCTCATCTTCTGCTCCTTTTTCTCTTCCCGTTCACATGTTCTCTCACCTCTATCCGTCGCACTTCCTGCCACAATTTGTGGCTTCTGTTCTCACGTATTCTTCATTTGCAATGTCCAAACTCAGCCATCTTCTCACTGCCATTTTTTTCCTGTAGATTTCCGCCCTCCGGCCTCTCTCTATCCTCTGACGGAGAGCACATTTTTTAATAATTTCTATGCATATGTGTATCAGCAATTTGCCCCCCACTCTAGATAAACTCTGGAGAGCACACGTGAGGACTAAAGAGCTTCCACTGTCATTGTGATATCATCAAAGACTTCTTATGTTTGAACTTTGTCTTGTAGAACAAACCCCTAGAGCTGATTTAAGATTAGACCAGGAGATGGAACATGCGTTGCAACTCTTATGTGAAAAGACAAGGGTATGGTTTATTTATTTTCAATTACAGAAATAGCAGTTATTTCCTTTTCCATGAAAAAATATTCTGCAAATCCCGACATTTCTATAGAAAGGTGCAAAAATATTTCTTTAGTCGATCCTTTCCACTATGGGAGTTATTTGACATTCTCTCACACAAGCTTTGGTATTATGAATTTTGGATAACTTTTAAAAGCTATTTTTTGGCAACACAGGTACATTTGTCACGGTTTCCTCTGTTGGGAGAAAGAATCTTATTTTATCTCTCCTCGTTCAACCGGTCAACAAATTTCGACACAATTTTTTTTAATGCTCCATAACTTATTCTATCATGTTTTTTATACCTGAAGTTTGCTCTCATGCTGTATTTACAGGGAAGGGACCGAATTGTAGTCATGTTGGAGGCATTGATGCATGCCAAAATCAGTTTGAAGTTCACACAGGAAGTTGTTCGAGTTCTTAATGTATTGTTTTATTTATCACAGATGGGGGATACAACTTAGGAAACCACGCAGGCAATCAAGCAGGAAAATGAGCAGACCTACATGCAGTGTCGCATTCTTATAAGATTAACGTTTTGCCTCGTAATGGTCGATATATTCATGACGAACCTCATGACCGACTACAGATGATTTCAGCCACTTTTCAAAGAAATCCTTTAGAAAGAGTCTTGTTTCCTGCAGATAGTCGTGTGTTGCTACAACTCCCGATGAACGGTTTAGTGTCTCCACAGGTATGATCAATCAAGAGTGAACCCTGCACAACAGCTTTTGAGGATTTCCCTTTTTTTTTTTATCCCCCCTTGAGGAAATTGTTGCACAGTTGCACTTGACGGGGACAATTGAATAAAATGGAGCTTAGAATGAGAATGTATCAAACAAAGAAGGAGCAGAGCACTCTTTATAGAGGATACATGGTTCATTTTTGAGAAAAAGAAAATAAATCGTCATTGTTCAGTTTAGAGAAACCACAGGGGTGTTTTTTGGGCTCTGGAAATGCTCACTGGAACTCAGCAGTACTAACTAAGCTGCCTCTACTGTAACGGTCTTAGTCCTAAACTGAAAAAGACTCCTGTTCAATTCAAACTGGCTGAAACACTCTCTGATTTAGACTATAATTCTCCTGAGATGTTGAGAAGTTTTGACTTGCCTTTGTGTTGGTCAATCTTTGTTGATTACCCCTTTTCACTCAGAGCACTTGAATGAAATGAGGAGAGATACAATTTGAAAGAAATGGTGATAATGAATCTAATACTGTGCAATAATCAGGTGTCTGTTTTATCCCAGTAGTTATTATTTACTTTATGACTGGTTCAATTTTCTAAATATATGTACAGTAAACAGTACAGAGTCTTGTTGAGTTTCCTTGGCTGGTAAACTAAAGTTCTCCAACACAAATTGGTTTATTTATGAGTTTGAGCCCACCGTTGGCTGTAGACCTTACTTTAAGACTACCACCTTTATGGGAACTTTTTTGTTGTCTTTATTAATATTACATGTTGACATCCTGACAGATATCCTTCCTCAGAGGTAGACATTTTCTGGTTTAAAAAAATATTCTCACCTGAAACTTAAAACCAAAAACAGGGATGGCTTCTGCTGTGGCAGATTGCACATGTTCTGCTCCACTTGGGACAGAAAACAATTTAGAGAGAAATAATTGGTCTTTGAAGAGTTATTTGAAGTCAATACAATATTGTATGCACCTCTTCTCTGATTCTCAGATTTTCTGATTCTTGAAATGACTATCTTTGTTTTGTTTTTTGATTTATTACGTGAATTAGAAGTGTTGCCTTTATGTTTATTGAGTTATTAACAACTCACAGACACATGCATGCACACCTGTGCACACCTGGGTGTGGAAAGTCACTGATGGTGACTGTGGTTGCGTGCATGCCTCAGTGGTCAACGACTGGATGTAACAGAGTTACAGACTATTATTGAGATGCGTTTAATTATTTAATAGCGGATTAAATCTAAACCCAACCAAGAGAGAGAGAACTTTAGGGGTGCCAGGATGCACTGCTGTTATTTTCTACAGCAAACAAGTCCATCTGTATCAAAGTGTGACTGGTGTAAAGAAAGTGGAGAAGATTATGAATTATATAGCGTAAAGACAGTAAATAATTTAAAGATTTTTAAATTAAATTAAAGATAATTCAAATAAAAGAGCCGTTAATGTCATTAGTTTATAATTAGTCGTTTTTGAATGATTTAATTGAACATTTTCTAAACGTAGCGATTTTAATATGTTAAACTTGAGACACTGCCTCCCAAAAAGAAAACAAAAAAACTTAAAATCATTCTTTATAGCTCCTCTACTGCCAGGAAGCATGCTTATCTCAACTCAGCTCACTTTGTACCTTCAATATTCTCCTCATCTGACATTATCTTTACAGATGTTATCTCTAAGTTTGGTTGGTGGGGAAGAAAATGCTCAGTTGACTTTTTATTTGAGTGGACCTTTACCAATTCTTGTGGTCCATGTGTCATTCCCCGTAGATACCATCAAATTGTTGTACAGTTAATTAATGTATCATAAGTGCACATGCAACCCTAAAAATTAAAGGCCACCACGAATCCAAACGGCAGAAATCCCACTTTTATCCCGTGCTGTGTTTACACACCAGCAGAAACACCTTTGATGGGATTAGAATCTCTAAAGATGTGTTTTAGTCGGCCTGGGAAGCTGCTAGCAGGGAGAGTGTGCAGGGATTTATGCATTTTTGATGCAGCAAAGGGAGGAGTGGAACTCTGAAAAGGCTGCGTGACCTACTTAAGAGAGCCGTGGCATTCAGACGACTTGTAGTGCCACAAAAAGAGAAAAAAATCCATCTCTTACTTTGCAAATATATGTGTGTGTGTGTGTGTGTGTGTGTTCGGAGGGGAGGGGGAGTGTTTGGGCACAGAAAGTGACAAATACTTGTAACAAATTTGTCAGTGTTACTTTTTCCACTTTCCAGTCCGTTTTTACCTCTGCATTAATGTGTGTGCAGCATGTCTTAAGCCACCCTGTCTGTTTTATTCAAAAGCCTCTATAATGAAAACCCCTCAGATTTCCTGTAAGACTTTTGCCAACAATCCACTGGGATGACATTTGGCTGTCTGTGGATGCGTGCACGTGCATGTGCACTAGTATAACTTTGCTTTCTCCCTCTGTTCTCTTCTAAGGGAAAAACGCAATTTTTCTTCACATGGTCGTGTACACAAATTAAATTTCTTTGCCGTTTGGGCCTCCCCCCCTTTTCTCTTCCTGTTGTCGCTACTTTACTCTTTTTCTCGGTAGCCATGGCAACACATTACTGTACGTCAGCCTCTCATAGGAGACGACATTGTCAGGCTCCTCAGGCTGTCACATGTATGCACTGTAGGGTGAGAGAGACGGGCGGGGGCCATCGCGGCTTTCCAGTCACCTCAATGAAGGCCGTTCAATAAGCGATTCATTAGAAAAAGACAAGCACTCGCAGTCATCGCCTTCAAAAGGAGTGTTTATTTGAGCCGGAAATGAGCTCTTGTGAGACAAGAGTCGACCACCTGGTTAAATGCGTGTGTTAAATTGCGTGTGTGAGCGTGTGTGTGTGTGTGGCGGGGCTTGTAGCGCCTCATGATTGATGATTGTTCGGGACACTGTTGGCATGGCCCCCGGCCTGGATAAATATGCGCCGGTTGATGAATTCCACAGTGAATGGTTTATTTGTGTTTGTGTGTGTGGATGTGTCCGTGGCGGGGGAGCGCGCGGCGCAAAGCCCGAGTCTGAAGAACGTCGAATGCATTCATGAAAAGGGGAAAATTAAGAGAAAAAAAACCATTTTAACAAACATAATTTTCGGCTGTGATCGATTATTACCTTTAAAAGCAAATCTACTGTTCCAAAGTGCTTTCACTCCAGTGAATCAGTTTTGATAAGATGGTGACTGTTGATGTGCACATTTACTTTCCACATTGCATTAGTCAATAAAAAATAAAAAAACACCCCTTAGAATATACACTGTTAAGTGTCTAATTAAGAATCTAATTGGACTGAGCTGAAGACAAAAACATTAACAAGCTGACACAATGTGGTAATGATGCCGTGTTTATGGGCACGGCCTCTAATAACTTTAAATCTTCTGGAACTGAAAGATTAGAGAATAGATCGAGAGGACAACTTAGAGATGGGAAATGGCCACAGAGAAAGAAAAGCAGTTTAGGGAGGAAGAGAGGGGTACAGGTGTTTGCAAGACAGTGTGACTGTGGGGGGATAAGGATGAAAACAGAGAATCAGGCAGTGGCTGGTAAAAGGTTTAGAGAATATAAGAGAGGTCTTGAATTCAAACAGAGAGAGAGTCCAGGATTCCTTTGAGGGAGCGTTCTGCTTTAACAAGATTGATATGCATAGACACAGCCAATCCTTCGGGAGATGAGGGACAGCATGAAGTGAGCTCCGTCCCGTGAAACACACACACACACACACACACACACACACACACACACAGATGCACGCACACACCTCCGTACACCCACTCGCAGCTTTTCCGAATGCGGCTCCACTGTCCAGCATGCCTGCGCTCGCAGACTCCCATCTGTCTTCTGTGGAATAAGCGGTCACTTCTCCTCCGAAAGTTGTCAACATTTGGTCCTTCCTGTTTGGGGACGGATGAGTAAACTGCCTGTGTCTGTCCTGTCAGGCCCGATTAAACATCAACAGCAACATCTGCCTTTTTCAACCCTCTGCTTAGGCATTAGGAATAGGAAATAACCAGCGTGATATTTGTGTGATGATAATAAATTGCACTTCTAAAGCAAAATGGCACACTGACTCCAAAATAAACTTCCATTGAGGGTTCTGTGCTTGAGATGTACTGTTACAAAGGAAATGTATTTGCTACTGTGTTTCTCACATCATTTCACCAGCCGATGTTGAGCAGATTTTGTTGACAGGCCGGGGGGGAAAATGTCCACAAGATGTCAATGAACGATATTCTATTTTTTCCAGCCTCAGCAGAAAATATGAACGTAAAAAAAAACATTGAAAAGGTTATATCACAAGGCTGAGCTGTACATGATTAACTGGTATATGTCTGCACAGACCTGGAATTCAAGCCATTTAATAATTTAATAATGCAGAATGGAGGCAAAATACACATAAAACTGCAGAACAGAGACACTTTCAGCCAAGAGGATGGAATATTTTGCAAGTCTTTGATCTCCTGCTGGATTTGTTGCATTTCTGAGGGACAAGTGTGCAGACGGGTGTGACTGAAATTGGTATGAAGACACTGCAAGCTTGCAATCCGGGGCGTAGCAAGTGATGCTCGGACTGTGTGTCTCTGCATTTTGCATCAGCATCTCTTCTCACTGGCCTGTGCCCTCAAGGGCCGACGCCTGACACCTTTGTATTTTCTGACCGAGAGATCACATCGGACCGGTCGCACTCGGCGCTGAGTGGTGACTCGGCTTGTGCCTGAAAGCTACGCGGCGCTAGCGAGGCCGCGTGAGTCGGAGGACGAGTTGTTTCCCGTTGCCGTGACAGCAGATGAATGATGAGCACAGGCTGAAAGAGAGAACTCCTTTTTTAGCAAGGTTATCTTGCTGGATTTTGTCACAAAAGACACCATTTATCTAATAAAGTGACTTTTGAAAAACCCTTTGAACCGTGTGGGATAAAGTTTGTTTAACAGACTAATAAAAGGCCCAAATAGTCCAAAATAGCACAAAAATTGAAGCGGCAGAAGTTGTGTTAACAGATCAGAAACACTTTGAGGCATGCTTTTGTGGCGTTCAAATAAATTGCTAAATGTGCCATGCCGTTGAAATGAGAGAAAAAGAATAAACCACTGACTAATACGCTGACTCAATTAAATTGGATGACCATTAGGTCAAGAGGGAGGAAGCAACTATGTATTATGTTTGTCTAAATGATTTTGGGGGGGGGTTGATTTTCAAAAGGACAGATGAGGAAGGTATGCATAGTTGTGGTAACACTTGATATTGTACTAGTTTTAATAATAATCCACAATAATTAAGCAATCATTTCCCTTAAGGGATTAATAATGCATAATTCAATTAATTTCATGTGCATAGATATCCCCCCCGAATAAAGTAGGTTCAATGGAGGTAGGGAAAAGGTTTGAAAAAGATGCACAAACAAGCTCCCCCACAAAAATATCTTTCCATGCAGACAGGCCTTGCATTATTCCGAGCTGTGTTTGTTTCGCAGTGTATTTTTCTCTTTCCAACTTGAGTATAAATGAGGGTCTCTATGGCTGTTGACACCATTTATGTGGTAAAGTGGCTGATTTCTAAAAAAGCAGAGGCTCAAACATTGAGAGGTGATTTCTTATAGAGCCGAACTGCTGTAACTCAGGCAGGACTTTTTGTTCGGGCTTCAATAGTTAGCAGAAAAAAAGGAGCTCGGGGCTTGAATTGAAACTTTAATGCAGTTTTTTTTTCTGTAATGCTTTTGTACTACGTAGCAGGAAATATGTGGCACTTCATCTGTTCTCAATTTATTACATTTATACTGTTTCAGCTTATATATCTTTACAGCTTTGAAGGGTATTAGTCAGGAGCTCTCGTGTGATGCTGTGAGCATTTATCTTCCGTGTTTTCCCTTAGAAATGATAAACAAGCTTAATTATATTGGAATCTGAATAGTCAGAAACTGTGATTGAACCGAGCCTGCAGGAAACCGTGTAAAACCAACCATTTCTGTGGCCGTAGGCCTGTTCCCTGCGAGATAGTGACCAGTTCTAGCTCTCAGAGCAATAAGGATTAATATGCTATTCCTGGCATTGGGGAAGGATTTAATTGATTTAATCGGCTAGTTTGGGAGGTGTACTCTTTGTACCCTCTGCTTTTGGTGTAAAAATTATATAAGTGAGACTCTGCTGCTGCTCTACCTCTCTTTTTAAGACTGAGATTGAATATTGAGTTTTAGCTTTCAGTCAAAACCCCTTAAAACCTTAACATATAGCATCTTAACATCTAATGGTGCATATTACAGCCAACTTTATACCATGGGCAACATCTACCCGCCCCAAAGAATAGTCTTTGAACGTATCTTACTCAAATACTTTTTCATTTCTATTAAAGGGATTACCCTAAATGCCACAGAATTAACTGACTTTTTCTGTGTATGTGTGGAGGGATTTTTTAATTCATTTTTTAAAAAATGTACTGCACTTGCCCTGCAAACAAAAGGGCCATATGGGTGAACTGTGATTACGTGAAACAGCACATGAACCGGCTCTAATGGGTGCTGCTCCTGATTTGAAAGGGCCTCCAGGGTATTTAAACAGATTGGAGGGGTTATGATTTCAAGATGTATTTTCTGCATTTTTGGTTAGGTTTAGACACCAAAACTTGCACACAACTGAGTTTTGTTTTAATAAAAAAGGCACAGTTACACATTCTTCCACGTCATCTGTATCATCAGTACAGCAGAAATTAAACATAAAGTTGATGACATGGTCATAAACAGTCACTGACTATAAAAAAAATGGCAGCATGCCATTGGTTTTTAATGTCATGTAAATGTATAGGGCAGCATAGAGCTCTCGGTTATTCAAAATGTACTGTTAAAGCTAACTTCCCTTAGTATTAACACAAAAAAAAGAGGCTTTTTATTGGACCACCTTCATGGTTCCCCTCTCTCATCTCCTTTTTCTCCCGGGTAGCACATGTTCCAGCTGTTGTCAGCCCTTGTCAAAAGCACGACGTTCTGTAATAGGCTTAACATGGCATCTGCTCTCTGCTCTGCTCAGATTGCTAATAAAGGTGCAATGTGTTCGCTGAAATTTTGGTGCCAGTGGCCCATTTGAGCTTATCCCCCTAATTCGTGAGAGAGCTGATATGTGCATTGTTGATTGTGCATTCGCCAAAGATCGGATTTTTTTTTTTTACCATACATTGTGTTCCGATGACAATTTGTGTGGTGGATGTTTGTGTATGAGAAGAAACCACGAGCTCAAGGGGGAGAATAAACTGTGAGTGGGAGTCAAGAGGAACAGAGGAGACTTGTCACCACAGAGGAGGCTTCCAGTGCGCCATCCTGGTTATCCATGTGGCCATCTGAGTTCTGTAGAAAGCGAGAGATAGTTTGAGTGTAACAACAAAAGCCAGACTGCATTGCGAAAAGAGATGGAGGGCAAACAGCCATCAGCTCGAACGGCCCAGTCAGTCTGTCGTAGGGAATTTTAAAGGCCAGACAAGTATTTGGTTCCTTCGTTCTTCGAATAAATGTGGTTGGAAAAAAAACAATCCGTCTCGATCTCGATTTAAGTCCGTCCACACTCACTCAATCAGTGTGTACTCTGTTGAGATGCTCCGGGGAATGCTGCTTAAATGTTACCACGAGGAGTCTCGACGCTTTCTGCATACGTGACTCAACTCTGTTCTTGGCCCCGTCCCCCCCCCAGTTCCCTTGCTTTTATCCAAGTATCTGGGAAAGCTTTGGCTATTGCTTTTGTCAGTGTTTCCTAAGACTCCGAATTGCCTGTCAGCCATGTCTTCCTGGTCATTTAGAGGAAGGAAAGAAAAGGCACGGCTGGGCGATGTGTTACACCCCAGTGGAGCTCTCAATTGCCTCAGGGCTCATTGATGGGGAACAAATCGCTGTAGCTTCTTGAAGATATTATCTGTATGGATTGTAGCGGGCAAGTTGAGGTTTCCATTGCCGAAGTTCAACGAGAAACGGGGGAGTACTGACCCTAAGTGACCGCAGCGACCTCAAGAGGGCATTATTTATGAATTGGATTAAAAACAGTTACATCTCCGGCACCATGACAGAACAAAGTTTTACTCATCTTCTGAGGACTGATTGGCATACCCAGCAGACCCCCGTCTCTCCTGACAGTGGCTGGTATTGACTGCCATGACAGAGTTAGGGGATTACTTGGGTTTTATACATGGAGAAATAGATAATCTTCTTTGACTCCGACCTATTGGCTGCATTCTCCTGACTCTATGCGGCTTCATAATACCGAGCATATGTTTTAGTGATTACTGGAATCACTGTGGCTCCATATTCTGTCCTGGTTTGACATTCCTTAAGTAACTTATTGGGATGCATGATGCAAGTGGACGCCTAGGAAGAGATGGTTTGAAAGAAATTTGAACTGTGGAAGCACTTGTTTACTTTGAATGTGAAAATAGATACATTATTGAACTTTCAAAGTAAAAAGTTCCCCAGTTTTTCATACTTTTATCTGGTTATCATGGAGAGTTGAGAAAGGAATACATTATACCTAAAGATTGCCTATATGTGTGGCATGTGTCTTCTTTACAAGGAAATTTGACAATATTCTGTTTGTAGAATAGAAATCATGGAAGTTTGGTATTTTTCGCTTGAAATGAGATGGGCCTTACTTCAAAAAGGTGTCCTGTAAATGTCTGATGTCTTTAGATAAAGTAACCGTACAGCCCTCAGAAAAAATGGGCTTTCACCAGTGTGTAAGTTGAATAGAGTGAACCATTCCACCTCACACCACTGAATTAATCGGATTTAAAGAAGCCCAGTGGAGCAGGTGTGAATGATTCCATGAAGAATTCAGCTATTGATTTATAAGACCACAGAGGTGTTCTCCTCCTCACTTCAGTCCATCATAAGTGAGCCCGGGAGAAAACCCCCTCCATGTTCCAGTTTTCTTTTAAATGGTATGGACGCTTTTTCGGGCACAGAAACTACATTTGTAGAGCAAGAATGTGCAAACGTTGTGTATCGTTCTGACTATATGCAGGCACCTTTTTGACCGTTATAACAGATTTGATGAAGATGAAATAAAAACAATAATCATAGACTTTGATCTAAAGTCACAATGCTAATGGAACGTGAAAAAAATCACTTGATGAATCGATTAGTGTGTTTTTTCTTTCTCATCCTTAGTTTTTCTATCTGAACACGCACAGTCCAGCGCAACTTAGAGTCACCACTTAACGTAACGTGACGTTTTTGAATAGGTGGGAGGAAGCCGGAGTAACTGGAGCCTTGCTTAACAGTCGTGTGTCAGGATGACTGCCCCGACGTCGGTATAAGACATTGCTCATGCAACTTTAAAAAGAACATGAGCTTTTAAAGATTGTTTTCATTCTCTTGGACATGATGACAATTAGCCCTTGTTGAGGTGCAGCAACTGCCTATAGGATTGTGTTCCAGCACCTATGCTGCAACCTCTACTCTTATAACAGACTACGTATCATTTTATCTTTTTAAAATAACAATTCAACTCAATCAGTTAAATAACCTTTTGATTTTTATTGAACTCTTACTGAAACGATTGTATAATAGGAATGATAAATCAACAGTCTGGAAGAATATTACCTGTTCTTGTCTTAAAATGGAAGTCCAGATTGCTGTCCCAACCTTTTTCCCAAACACATAATTTACAATTATTAAAATTGATGGAATTGATATGTTCTACCTCATTTATATGACTTACCAAAGATCAGTATTACCTTCTGGTTGAGCTGTATCCGCTAGATATTGTTTACTGAATCCATAAAAGGCTGTGTGCCTGTAAACATTAGCTATTAAGAATCTTTCTTAATCATTTTAGTTTGATCATGAAGACTTTACATGGAGGAACGAGGACTCTGTGAGGACGGTATCTGAAGTCGAATAAGTAGCCGTGACGGCTGAACTGTTAGCAGAGGTCAAAGGGCACTGACTCTGCACATGACCGTGCACAGACTGTTGTCAAGTACCTTATCCTCCAGCAGAAGTGAAGTTGTACAGTCACGCCGGTGGATAGTGAGTCATGGGAGCAGGGTCTGACAGTCGGGAACCTTTCTCACAAAGGCGAACGTTGCTCCCGGTCACAGTCGGTCTGTGTCAGAAAGGGAAAACTGCGAGTGGCTCAGGTGGCAGCCGACATTTGTACATATGTAAGAACCACGCACGGAAGCAGTGCTTCATCTAATAAGCTTCCATCAGAGGGCCAACACAAATGCATGAACACAAACGGCACATAGACTGTGTTTTTGTTTTTATGAGTCTAGTCACAGCACTTTACCCCACAAACCACAGTCAACCTTTGTCTCTCTCTCTTTTACACACACACACACACACACACTCATGGAGTGCTTTTCATACACCATTTAGTCAGCGGAGTATCAGAGACTTTGCAGTGCTTTTTCAACCCAAGAACACTTTAACATGCAGTCTGGGGAAACCTGGGCTCAGACTACTGACCTTCTGATTGGCGAAGAGCAGCACTGCTGAACCACTTTTTCTTTTCCTTAACTGTGAAAGGAATAAGCAGTTCTGTGAATCAACAAAAAAAGATCCAAACCAGGAACCTTCCTGTTGTAAGATAACTCGATTCTATGATTAGAAGTTAAGTTTTCTCCACCAAACTGGTGTCAAACATGAGGATGCAGTTGCTTTCTGCTAACAAAACACATCCAATCTTCACACCTACAAAGACATATTTTCTAGCTAATTCTTACAGATTTGCAGACATAATTTCTGATGTTGGTTTTATAGCGAATGAACCGATGAAGGTGTTCTCCTCGCCGTTCCTCTGTGTTGTCCTGAGCTTCTCTTCCCATCTCCTCACATGCATGTGGATGTGCGGTGTTGGGTCTCAGCCTGCTGATTTGGGGACGGTAATTGGCTATTAGGCGCGAGACAGGTGCAGCTGCCTTTTTCTGCAGTGTTAACAAGGCATTTTATCATGGTTAGCTCCAGCCTGGTGCTCTGATCAGCTCTTGTTTTTGTCACAGCGCTACACATATGTGCACGCAATCGCAAACGCACGCAAACAATACTGAGAGTAACACTAAGGTGGTCTCAGTAGATTCTCAGTAGATTTATCTTGCATCATGTGGTGATTGTGGATAGTGAATTTGAGCTTGAAAACTGACATTACCAACAGTGACTGACCCTGTGCAATGGGCTGTTTAATTGCCAGAAATGAATTATATTTAAATGATCTCCTTGTCCAGGGGTATTGTCAAATAGAAAACCCCTCAAACTCAGGTTTTACATTTTTGCGGTGTAAATGATATGTTTTAGGAAGGCTACCTATTTTTAGAACACCATTTTAACTGTTTCTTTTGATCAGGTCTCTCTTCTGCTCTGTATGTAGTTATTAGGGAGATAAGCTGGCATTCACTGGTTAGAATGCTTTTGTTAAGAAAAAGAAAAGGAACAGATATATTAGTCTATAACCATCAGTTTTGAACACAACTGATGGTTCCACAAACTTTTAATGAAGAATTTTTGTCCTCATTGTTTCCATATTAAAATAAAATTTTGACTTAAAAAGTTGTGTCCAGAAAAAGCTTATTGGAGACATGCAATTCATAATGTAATGATCAGTAAGAATCCATCTCAGTAGCTTGGTTTAAATTTAATTTGAAGATAAAGGACAGGTGTTTTTTAAAATAAATGATTATTCTTCTGTCAGTACTCTAAATGGTAAGTCTGCTGGAACACACTCATAGCAATGAACTGCCAAACTGTGAAAAAATACAAGAATATTTCAGCTAGAAATTCTTGTAGTAAACCCGGGCTCCATGTGAATATGGTTAAACAACCGAAAGAGACAAGTAATGTGTAAAACATCAGTCAGATTCTTGAATGAGTGTGACAGACACTCATGCTTGCGACCTGAACTAAATTTTCTGTTTATGGATCCACGTTAGACTCCCTTGAGTGTCCACTTCCAGGCTCTTCCACCATCAGCCTCCTCTCCATAACCACACACACCTTCCCTGGCCATCTCCCAAGGCAGTCAAACAGATTACTACGGGCTTTAACCTCATCGATCTGCACCAAATGGCCTCCAAATGCCAGGAATTACATTTCAGACTGAAGCTCAGGGAAATAAAGTGCTAAAGCATTTCTTGCTGCTTTGCCTCAGAGCTAAGTGTTGTCATGCCTTCCTTGTACAGTACCACTTTATCCTCGGAGAGTTATTTGTGTTTTTTAAAGAACTGGCATATTTGTCTCGGTTTATACACAGAACTTCATTGAAAAGTAAATTACCTCGTGCTTCTGTACTGTGCAAGTGCAAATAAGAAGATAATAAATCAAACAAATTATCGAAAGACCTCAAAGTGGATTTTATATATTATAATTCATATTTTTGGTGGACCTAAGGCACATTTCAGTAAAGCTGCTTGGCCTTACAGACAGTGAATGTATATAATATTGGTCAAACGTCAAAATTTCTTCGCTCGTCTCTTTCTCACCTTGATTTCTTGCTCCTTCGCCAGCCGTCAGCTTCACTAACTGCCTGTCTTTTCCCTCTTTGTGTCCTATTATATTCCATTGCCTCTCTCCCCTCCGTCCCACCTCCTGCCCAACCTTTCCTGCATCTCCGTGGCTGAATAAGTATTGATTGATGTTGGAGTGGTTGTGCTACCTAATGAGAGGCTAAATATAGCCATCGCTACAACGGCCCTGCTGCGGCATCCTCCCTCATCTAGCGCTCAAAGTGTGAATAGTCACACCGTTGGCATGACAACACCCTGGTCAAGGCTTTATGAGCAGTCACAACAGATTGCGAGCCCGTGTTCCATGTGGGTCCCTCGCAAATTTTACAGGATGAATGAAAGAAAGGGGGCCAAAATGATCAGCATGGGACGGAAATACTTCTGAAAAGATTTGATGAAGAAGTTCGATGTTGATGATGGGACTTTAGGGACGGAAAATATGTCCAACTTTTAAAATGCTGATACTTTTTGGGCGGTGTCATGGTCTGCAGACCAAATTATGTCAGAATTTTGTTTGTTTTGTTTGTTTTTGTCAGAATTTGACAAACAATCCATTATTTACTTTGTGGGAATGGGATTTAAAAAGGGCTTGCAGGATAATTCGAAGCATTCCATACCAGCTTCCAATATTTTCTTTTATTTTAAAGTACTGTTTACTTCTTAGCTCATGCTTAGAAGTTACTGCTCTTGGAGTAAAACCATTTTCCTCTGTTTCGACATCCACATCCGTTCATCTCGACCCTCTGTTGTTGTTGAAGATGGTTTAATTTTCTGCACGGGGAGTAAAGTACATAACAATTAACCACCTACAGCACATTGTTACTCCGCGCGTTAAATCAGCTTAAACCTACAGTATTACCAAGCCCTATTGTACTCACTTTGACGAGTTTAGTTGCCCACACTTCTTTTTTTTTTTGTTGCATGGTAACCAATTGAGTCACAATCCTAGAATACCAGCCCACCTTGTTCCAGCCAGCTGGATGAGAGAAATGAACGATGAGCGCGTGGTTTAATAGCAGATCGGGTTTAATAGCCCACTGTTTCATTCAGCTGTGTGGCCGGGAGGAGGAATATGCCCACTGTGTCTGAGCACATCTTCTTCCTTTCATTTCACCTGAGGCGGATCCCTAATCGGCTCTATTTTTTGACTGGTATTAAAGCATACGCTGGTTTCTCCTGACATCTGCAGGGGGAATTCATTCAGACTTAACATGCACCAGCGTTGGCTTCGGATTCGCTCAAAAAGGTGCTGATTGGTTAAATCTAAGAGCGTGATTGCATCTGACAGTAGGGGGGGTTACTGATGTGATGCATGTTTTTGATGGGACTTGTGGGGAGTCATCAGTCGCTTGTGTCCTTGACTCCAACTAAACTTACTCCTGTAGTCCTTCAGTTATTTTCTATCGTCTTATATGAAAAAAATGAAGTAGATGACGGACGGCTACAAGATCTAAGCTCCTGCCACTACACTGAATAAAGTTACTAACAAATCACAACCCGCAGTCCGATTTTTTCTGTTAGGAATCTCATTCCTCCACGTTCGATTTTCAGTTTTTCCAATCTGTGTTGAAAATGAGGTGCTGTTGTTCGGTAAAAAAAAAATCTCATTTAGTCGCTGGCTGATGGCTAACAGGGTCAAATGACTTTCCAGAGGAGATCTACGGTGTCAGAAGGCACGAACACACGTGCACCACCTGTCATTCAGTTAGTCAGTCTCTATATCAGCGACATACAGGATGGCATCCTGAATCGAGTGGCAATAATAGAAAAGTGAGTGGGGAAGTGTTTGCTGTTGATAGGAATATTATCGTTACGTGCTGTAGAATTCAGGGAATCACAGCAAGAGCAGTTAGCCAGCTTCGTGTAGCAATCAATAGTAACCTACACACTTTTTCTCCCTCACCCTTCTCTTGTCCTGTTTCTCTCTTTCACACACTCTTTCCACGGTTGCTATAGTGATGTGAAATCGCTGGCTTCTGAGGCACATACCGGAGCGGGGAATCAGCTTTTTGCTGCATTGTTTACGTGATACTTTCAAAAACACTCACACACAAGGCCTGCAATTATGCCGGCAAGTACCGCCGCGCTCGGAACGGCGCGGAGGTGAACAGTTGTTTTTTTTTTTTTTTAAGATGAATATTATTTAAATGGCACATTGTTTATCGTGAACGAGCAGAAAACGTGTGCGGTTTACAGCTCACCAACCACATCATGCTGAAGTTTGGGAACACTGTGCACACGACTGCCTGATGGATTCCCAGAGAGCTAGACCAGTTTCTTAAAAATGCTTGGGTTAATAAACAAATGTAAAAATAAATAAACAAATAAATAAATAAATAAATAAATAAATAAATAAATAAATAAATGAATAAATAAGAATAAATAAATAAGAATAAATGAATACAAATAAAAAATAAAAGAATACAAGAAAATGTAAATAAATAAAATAATTAAATTAAATTAAATTAAATTAAATTAAATTAAATTAAATTAAAGAAAATAAATAAAATAATAATTTAATTTAAAAAAAAGCTTGGGTTAAAATGACATTTTGTAAAGTGTTCGAATATGTCTTGCTTCAGAACTGACAAACCAAACCTATTTAAAAAATTCTCTTGTCCTCATCTTCTTTTCTTCATTTTTGCTCACTCTCAATTCCGTCTCCTCTATTTGTGTCTGCAGTGTGACAACGCCAAAGGACTGAGGGCCTTCTTTGATGCCATTTGCTATGGTCCCAAACACCTCATGATCTTCGGTGGAGTCTGCCCCTCTGTGACCTCCATCATCGCAGAATCCTTGGAGGGCTGGAACCTGGTGCAGGTAAGACGCCGTGCAGCCTTTCTCATCGAGGATTTATGTATAACGATGTGTAGCCTTTAAATCATCTCGTTTGCTTACCATGTAAAAAATGATTACTTCTTGTCACTGTGTTTTGTCCGAATGTGACCGGAGAAGCAGAGTTAGCTGCTTAATTAAGTTTTCAAAACGTCTTGTTCGTTAGTTTAGCTGTGTGCACACGAGTCCCGGGTTTCAAACGGGGTCCCAACTCGTGGCTTAATCCCTCATTAACCTTGCTAGGGTGACTCTGTAATTCAGCGCTGCTCTAATCCGTGGAATCCCCCTCTATTCTCCATCAGAGTACAGCTGGAAAAAGAGAAAGAGGTTTAAAATGTGACCTTGATGTACAGAAGCAGCTTCTTAAAAATATGAAATAGACATACTGTTTTGTTTTTTGTTTTCTTCGATTAATATTCTTTACTTTACTTCCCAATTTTTGAAAGTATGCAGGGTGTAATCAGTGTGAGGTGATTAAATTCTTGCCTCTCAGGTCAGTTTAGCTCATCACCTCCATTCATATGTGACCATGGAGATATTACTGCTTACTAAATGGCATTTGGCTGCTATTAATTTAATGAAGCCTTGTGCTTACTGACTGTTAAAGTGAAACAGCTAATTCTTACATCTGGTGAACTTCTAACCTCTCGAGTCAGTGTCTTTAAATCTGTTTTGTAGGTATCAGGAAGGGGAATAGCCTCGTTCACATCATTGAGAATGCTTTTTTTATTTTTTTTTACCAACCTTTCAGAGGTTATCAAGCAGAGATACGAGAGGAGGGAAGCCTGTAGTTCAAAGAGAGCTTAATTCAAAAAGAAGGGTTTTGAACTGAATGTCATGTGACGTTTCATTTTTCTCCTGCAAGCAGTTACTGTGATTCTACTCCTTTTTGCTCACCGTCTCGTCCGGGTCTCTCAGGACTAAAGATCAGCGGGATGAAGGGATAAAAGCCTGGGTTCTTTATTTTTTTGGTCATATGCTAATTTCAACTCACTGCTGCCAGTCTAGCATGAGAGTGCAAGTAAAATCAGACAATTTACTTTTATATTTTTGTCCATACAGTTGGTGTTTGTGTGTATCTGTATGTCTGCTTCAGCCTGTTTATTGGACTGTCTGGCAATGGTCCCTCTGAGAGGTGAAGCAGCAATCTTCTGCTCCGTGGAACACTCTGTTTGGTACAGTTTGTCCCCCAGAGCACCTTACCAAGCAATCTTTTTTTTTTTACCCATCAATACAAAATACTGACACCAGCAAATTGAGGGGTCGCCTGTCCCAAAATATGCTCCTAATAGTGCTGGAGAGCACAGCAAATGGGACTGAGGAAGGCATGGGGAGATGCAGATGTGACAGATGTTACAGCTACAGTTTGTGTTTGCTTTTAGCTTAACAGCCTGACACAACACTTTCAAGACCCAAAAAGTACGACATATCTAGTTCCCTGAGAGCTAGAGAAATACCAGGTGTAATGGACAGTGATGGCTCTTTCAAGTGTAATTTCAGGACTTTTTTGGAATAGTCCGAAGTTTCTGTTTCTCCTCAAATACAGGCTGTGTTTGCATGCCTAAGAAACACATGGTTTAGGTTACAATTGCACTTTTTTTTTCAGTGTAGGAAATCAAAAGGGAAATTATGTAAGATAAATAAAGAGCCTTCCGGAGCCAAAAATAGCAAACGGAGAAAAAAGGGGCATAAGATGACTGCCAGTTCTGAGTTCTGCACCCCTTAACTTTTCTCGTGCCACATTAGCGAGAATCTGTTTTTAAAGCTGCGAATTCTGTCACGCTGTGTATTTGTCACCCCACCCTGGCAGCACTTCTGCAGAAAACTCCGGTTTTTGGAAAAAGAAATTGAGAATTTTTCATGGGTGATTTTATGGGCCCGGCTTAACAAGCTCATGATTTTCACATCAAAAAACAGGGAGCTGGCAGATATTATCTACACGGCAGACAGCTGAGAACAACATCAGAAAAAAAGTCCCATCATACAACGCGTAAAAATAGCACGCCGTGTTGATGCCTAATGAAGTCGGCAGCAGGAGACACAATAAACTCACTTTGCATATCTGCTCGTAATTGTGTGTACACACACTTGACTGTGTCTACGGGTGAGTGTCAGTGTAGGGCTTTTCATTGGTATGAAAGCCTTTTTTCCTTATTTGTAGGGAAGATTATGTTTTACAAGAAAACCTGTAAACTCCAACCACCCATTTCTATCTAAAATAAGGATGGACAAGGGAAACTTCAAACTTTCAAACAAGCACACCTCATATATTGTGGGGAGAATTGAAGTTATCTCGTCTATAAAAAAAAATTGCACTGTTATTAATGCAGTTTAATGATCGCTACATTGATTGTCCTGAGCAGCTCTGTCAGCAGAAATGTTCTGCTAACTATAGGAAGACTGTCCGGTTGGAGAAATATGAGGCAGTAAGGGCTGAAAAATGCCAAACCCCTGCCGGTCCTCATAAGAAATGTGTTAGTGAAAGCATTATCAAAACATCATCACGCTCCCATCCAGGGCAGCCAATGAGATACAATTGATGATGTGATTAGTCAGTGGACATATAAGTGGTTTGTCTTGTTTCTGGAATAGCCAATGGGCAGAAATGAGATCTTTCACACTGATTTCTTACATGATATGACCACCTTCAAAAACTTTCCAACTAGAGGACTTTCTACCCTTAGTTTTTCAAATATTTTGATTTTGTTTATCCCCCTGCCATTGTCATTTATCAGAAAAATATGCACAAATGAAAACCATGACTGTTTCGGTAAATGGATCCATACATTTTTGAAGATTCTATTAAATAAAAAAAAACTTGCTATTGCTTGTAGCTAAAGGCTCTTTTGATAGGTATTTTACAAAATCAGTTGGTGTCTTCCATTCCGTTCCTATGATTTTTTCCCCAGTACATTTCTGCATTCAGCTTTAAATAGCAGTGATGGGTTTGGAAGGTTGTCATTTCCAGTTAAGAATAAGAAGTCTTGATATTTCCAAAGTTCACAGTTTGACACCCCTAATACATAAGCTCTGGCTACTGCCCCACAGCTTTCACACTGTCAGGACATCGTGGACATGCACTCATTTAGGAGACACTTTTATCCAAAGCCACTTACGAGCGGTGCATTCCGGTTCCACGTTCGGTTTACGACTGAACCTTCGACCTTTGAAGTGGGGACAGTTTGTCGACCTCCTGAGCTGAAGATCAAAAGAAGTGGACTTAAAGGAAGGAAAGGTTAAAGGAAAATGAGCTTAAACTGCCACAAGTAACAGTTTCTCTGTTTGAAAGACAGATAGAATAAATCAAGATCTGTTTTTATAGTAAATCAAAGAACACAGATACAATTATCAGCTGCTAATAGCCAATAAAAAGCACATATACTTTATGAAACATGGAATCTGTTTGCTGTTCAGACTTTAAGTGGCTCGGTTATGCCTCCCTCTTTGTAATGCAATGCTGTACGTGCTCTAAAATGACTGCACAAGCAAATGAAAATGGTGGATAAGATTCCTACCAGGGCCGGTGGACAGATGGTGAGGAGCAGATTGACTGAATAATGGAGGAACAGTTACAGAGCGCTGCTCCTGTGTGACTATTCCTCCATTATTCCCTTCAATATATAGACTTTAAAGACATCAAATTGAAATTCGGAGAAGAAAGGGATGACACAGCTGTGTTTCCCGAGCCTCCATCACAAACGCCACTGATTGCTGTGAGACAATGAACGTTGAAGCCAATTTCTTGGCAGACATCTTGGTGTATCATTAACCTCGTGTTCTCCTCGCCGTGATATCGTATCAATACAAAAATCATTTTTGTGAGTTTTTTAAATAAGTGCTGGCATCTGCATCTGTGAGTATAGGCCCGTCTCTCCACTCTCTTTACACATTTCTTTTCTTTCGCACAGAGCTGTCTATTCTCTGTAAATGGCTCATTGATTGCCGGGAAATAGCCCTAGCCCGTTCTGTCTCCTTTTTGCTGGCCTGTTCTGGCTCCCCAGTTAGGCCTATCAGCGGTGTCACTGTTCATTTTCAGGCACATCGAGTGTGTAATGAAAAATTATGTTTCCTGATCATTTTGCCTCCTGTAATGTGAATGAGAGGACAAGGGAGCCTTGTCTTACTTCTATAAAATTGATCATCTGTGTGTTGAAGGTTTTTTTTTCCATTGATATGGAAAATTGCTTGTAAAGGAAAACTTAACCTGGTTTATAATGCTACACAAGCTTCTTGAAATATCGACTATGAAATTTCAAAGCAACACTTGTAAAATGCTAATTATGCCAACTGAAGTATTGTTACTTTAACATCCTTAGTATTCGTTAGAAGATACTGAATACCAACAATATTTATAAGAAAGAAATGCTGATGCACCCTCTTAAGGGACTTGATCAAACCATGGCCGTAAAGCTAATATTTGCCTGTGTCTGAGACTCATTTTTTTTCCTGTTTTTTCCTCGCTGCATTGATTGTTGATGCTTCATTAAACCAGGCAATTTAGAAACAACGAAGCTTTATCCCTGATATGCCAGAGCAGAATACCAGCTTTCTAAACCTTTTTTTTTTTTTACCATCTACCATCTCTTAAGGTGTTTCTTTTTCCTGCATTTTTATTCTTATTCTGCTTGACTGCCACACTGGATCCTTCAATAAAACATGCGATGCCTACCACTGCAGTATTCTGCCTCTCTTACGTCAAATCCTTATGTGTCCCATATCAATTTTTCATTGCTTCCAAAGGTTAGGATGAAATCCCAGAGTGAGACTGCAGGAACAATTCTTGCCTCACAACAAAATAATCACATATCAACATTATGAGACCAGTTCAGATTTGCTTTTAGCCAAATTGTCTCCAAAAGGGTTGTTGACTCCAACAAATTGTTCAGTTTTATATTTACTGTGTACATGTGTTTAAGGACAGTGTCAGTACAAGGTTGACTCGAAGGGATTAGTTTTTTTTTATCCCCTTTACTTTTCTCTGTGGT